AACTAGACGCATAGCTGCGTGAACTCGGGGTTCTCATAGCTGATTTTATGTCGAAAATGATGTAGTGCAGATCACGCAGCTTTGAGAAAATAATTTATTTTTGTTTTACTCAGTATAGTCGTTGATAGTATTGATATCAATCTATTAGGGTATAATACAGTCAAGTTTAATTTGTTTTACTGTTAATATATTAAAAGATACACGAATCACTGCTATAAAGATTTGAAGCAATAAAAACACGCAGCCAGGAGTTTATTTTGGAATCCCTGTGCTATGTTCTTGCCCGAGGACCACTCCGTCGTCAGGGCAGGTTGCGTCGAGTACTTATTGCACATTTTATTATATATATTCATAGTTCTATGGCACACAGGCATATTTGTCGGACTTGATTGATTCTTAATTTTCTCACCGTTGCCGCTTGTGAACCATTTTTAATGAACAACGAGAACCACTTCGTGGATTTTATCGTGCCCAGTTAACTTGTTGTAACTTCGGAGTCAAACTTGCATTTGTACAAGATCATCTGATATTTAATGGCGATTGTGGGTGATATGATTGACCACGTGTTAGTGGCCTTCATGTGCTATCAGCTGACCTCTGGGTTTCCTATGTTGCACAAAGGCGTCGTGATCACGTGATGTATGACGTCACATACGGTGTTCCGCACTATGCACGTGTTAACATATTACTATCAAACTGCGCATTAATTACACGTACCCTGCTATCATTGGAGCATTAGACAGGAATGATCTCACGTATAAAAAGTTTAATATTAAATCTCTGAAGACTTTTTACAATGTCAATGATTTGGCAATTACTAAGTAAAAATTCATTAATGGCTAACTGTAACAATATAGTAATTCGAGCGAGTAAAATATTATGGAAAAAAGTCGTCTTTTTTGTGACTTGATTGAGCAATTCAGTCAATTGCGTATAAAAACATTTTACATTTGTTGTGCTTTAAGGACAACGCGAGTAGTTGAGTCATATTGGATTTCAATGTTCTCCAAGAATAAAATTGTTTCTGCGATGTTGTCTTGTTCCATGTCCAGGATATCCGTATTAAGAAGGGATGTCAAAACTTCATCGCCAAATTTAAGACATACGGTGTCATCATCGATTGTTGCTTCAACTTTGACATTTAGTGCAGGAATTGTCGTGTCTTTCTTCATGATGCCACAACGTTCACACTGAACAATTTTCGTTGTGCTGGCTTGTCGAATTTTCTTTGAGCATTTGACGCACTTTAAGAATCTGTCGATGTGTTGGATTGTTGAAATTTCTTTAATCGTCGCTGTATACAGTTCTTCCGCTTCATCGTCTTTATCGCTAAGAGGAATTCTTTGAAGTTCTTCAAAGTCCTGTACTCGTTCGATTGAGGTGTTTGTTAGTGTGGCAAGTTTCTTCGTGTTGTTCCAAACACGAACGGTTACAGGATGGATACTGTAAACACATCCTAATGTGAATTTCTCTATGTGTTCTTCCCAGATGTCAAGAGGCATTTCTCCGGTGGTATCCTTCAATATTGCTTGACGTAACCTTAGCTGTTTCTTCCCCACGAGTGTTTCGTCCTTCAGGTGTACGAGCTTTGCCCGCACAGCGATTTTGTCCCACTCTTTGTGGTTGTTCAAAACATCGAGTAGATTGGCATGTTGGTGAATGTCCGGTAATAACTCTGCATACTGAAAATCGTACTCTGACTGGCTTGGCGTTGAGATACAGGTCATGTCGTTTACGATGATCTTTCTATCGGTGGTATATGTGAACTGCTGTAATTTTATGGGCGTCCTGCTTTCGTTTTTCTCGGCGAAAAGCGGTCGCTTTTGTGGCGAATAGAGAAGAGCTTCACGTGATTCTGTTTTTGAAGTTTGCAAAGTTAACRTGGCGTAATTCATCGTGTTGGTTCTGTTTCTTTTGACGGGCGAGAGATTATGAACGTACCCAATGATACTATCCGAGTTGGGTCGCTTGGAGGAAGTCATTGTTTGTTGAGTCCCTTTAGTACTGTTTTGAATGTGCTCTCACTGTGTACAGACGTTGAGTAAGTGGTGGACCGTTCCTTATATAATGCAAATTTCACCGACTTGTCACCTATGAGGATCAGAATTGTTATTGGTTAGAATGTAAAACTTACCTATTTGAAAACAAAGTGTGATATTGACCTTTTCACCTTCTCTTTTTCTGACCAATCAGAATCCTGTATGATACAAAGATCTGATTGGCCAATTTAAGGGTATATGGCAACCAATCACAAGCCTATTTAAGCTAAAGATGGCGATCCGAAAGCTGTGGTGTGTTTCTTGAAGAAAGTTTTTCTTAAATACTGGATAGAAAAATAATTATTCGGAATTGGTTCTTATAAATATAAATACAAGCTAATCATATGAAACAATGGTGGTGTTATTTATGGTTCACAGATAATAATTTAAGTTAAAATAACATATCAAACGTATCTTGCACGTACCTGTTTATGCTTGATCCGGCAATTTGTGACGAGAACAGTGGAGATCAGAGGCTTTTGCTGGGCCTCTGTGTCGGGTGTGGAACGTGAGTCATTGTCTGTAAGTATGATTTGATAAAAAATATTCTGTATTCTAGTTATTCATTTTGATTTTTGATATTTGAATATGTTTTAAGCTAAACTTAACTTAAGCTTAACTTTTTTAAGGTTACAACTTTTGAGTAAGTTTAATAAGCTTAAGTAACTTAAATAAGTTAATTTAAACTTATTCAGGTAAAAACTAACGTTAACTTCAAGAGTGTCAGTCTGGTGAAGGGTGTTGTACTTTCTGGACTGCACAGTCATGGGAAACTGAAGTCTTTGGTAAATATGATTTTTCTGGTGCAATTGTTATCCTTGCAATATATGCTAAATTAGAACATAATTATTTTCTATAGAAAATTGATTTAATATTTTTGAATAGTATTAATTACACAAGTTTGAGAATAATCAAATTTTATAGTACAAGGCTACTGTTTGTCTTTATTATACTATTGTCCTTGATTAGCTATAAAAATTCGCAATGGGAAAATGTTACTAAATTCATTTGAAAGTCAATGATATTTTAATTGCTTCATGATCGGAGTAGTATACTGGAAGTATTGATGTACGAATATCACTTATAAATAAGTTCATTGTATTGTTTCTTATATAAACATGGTCTAGTAAACTTCCTGATATAAATGTAGGGCCCTGAACTGTTTGTGTATAGCTTAATTGTTTTATGATAGTACTGAGTGCTTGGACATCATTATCTGCAAGGAAGTTCATATTGAAGTCTCCAAAAATTATGTCAATATTATGCGTGTTTAAAATATTTTGAAGATTTCGTATAAATTGAGAAATGTTGCAACCATTCTTGCGATATAGTAAAAGAATATTTATTTGTGTGCTACAATATGCTTTAACAACAGAAAATGTTATTGCATTTATTTCAGGAATGTAGTGATATTCTGTGATTTCTAGATTGGGTTTTGAACATAATGCTAAACTGCAATACTTATCTGTAATATGATCTTGCCTGAGTAATGTAAAGGGGTGAAGATTTTTTTTTATATCAGTATCATTGCTGCTAGGTAAAAGTTGTGTTTCTGTAAAGCATATCATATCTRTATCAAAAAGATTTGCATCATGTTTCWCATCAATGCTGTGCTTTTGTAAGGACCTGACATTTAGAAGACAAACAGTTAACTTTTGAGTGTTTTCTTGGGAAGCTTTAGGTGGTTCAAGTGGTGATGTGTCTCTTAATCTCTGATATTCCTTATGTACTCTTGGGTCTGCTTTAACATGTTTAGCTTCTATTTGTCCTAAAGTGTACAAACCATTCATGGAACGTGATCGACTTAAAGCAACATATACTTGTCCGTAGTTAAATGACCTTTGTCTTATAAGCTCGAAGCTAATTACAACCTTGTCTAAACTGAGACCCTGAATTTTATGTATAGTAACTGCATAGGCCAATGTAACTGGAAATTGGAGCCTTTGAATTTCTGGTGAAGATGGTTTTCCAGGCCTTATTTTAATTTTAGCAAGAATTGGCTCAATGGGAACTACATTGTTTTCTTTAACAAATTGGTTTGTAGATTTAGCAATTACATTTTTGCCAGCTTGATCATCATCAAATTTAATATAAATAACACTTGGTTTTTGTGTGTTTTGATTAACTTGGATCTTAATGATAGTACCTATTTGGCCATTAATGAGTCTATCYGCAATATCGATATTGCTTGTTAGCATAACTCTTGCACCTTCTTTGACATGTATATCATAATCTAGTCCACCAGTTTCAGAACGACCTCTCAATAATACTTTATCAATGTCTGTTTGAGAGACATGTGGAGGATACTGATCTGTTGCTCTTAGAAGAAACATTGTTCCAGGTAATTCAGCTAATTTTKTATTGTTGTGCTCATCAACTGGTCTATTTTCAGCATAAATATGTATGGCATCTGATGGATAGTTTTCATTCTCTGGGTCTATTGATCTCGATTGTATCTGCTTAATGTSTTCTTCAGTTTGATTAGCTGTACGAAATCTGTTTAGCATTTCAACAAATGGTTGGTCATCTTTYGAGCGCATGTTATCAATMAGCTCTGTCATTCTAAAAAGATGCCAKGGATGACACAGGTTAAATGTTTCATTGTGGAAATTTTCAAATACTGGTTTTTTTCTTATTGGTGGAAGTTGATAGAAATCRCCACCTGCAATTATACTTATTCCAGCAAATAGTTTAGARGCAGGTGTAGCAAATATTTCTTTTAATCTTTGATGGATATGTAGTAGTGTGGTATTGCCAACCATAGAAATCTCATCTACTATTATGAGTCTCAGTTCAGATAAGAAGAGTCTCAATTGTGTTCKGTTTTGGTCTGARAGKGGYTTTAAAGTAGAACCGGCTTCTTTTGGTATACCTAAAGCTGTATTAACAGTAGTTCCATGAATATTTATTGCAGCAACACCTGTTGGGGCCATTAATAGTACTGATGGCAATTCAGGATTAACAGCAACATGTCTAAATGTTTTTGTTACAGTATGATATATTGTTTTAATCAAGTGGCTCTTGCCAGCTCCACCTCCACCAGTAAGGAAAATGTAAATTCCATCAATTTTTTGTGGTTTGATACAATTGATGTTTTTGACTTTATTTCTACACCAGGTTAGAACATGGTTAAATGTATATCTCTGTCTGTTATTCAAAGATCTCACAGAATGGCGTAGCTCATTATCAGTCATTTCTGAGGGTCGGATATACCGAGATAGTGCTGAAGCCTGATGAGACTCAGGTGTAGAGGACAGATGTGAAGGCATATGTTGATTGAATGTTTCATCTTCAACATTTGATTGTTCTAATTGGGAGTGTATATCTTCATTTTCTTGATCATTGATAGGATCATATGAGTGAAGTGTG